AGAAGCAGGCAGACGAAAGTGAGGTGGCTTCACACACCATATTGACATTCAACAACGAGAAGGTCAGAGCAGGGAGTTGATGTCAATATGTTCATCCTCTATTGCAATAAAGCTGTCCCAGCAACTGCAACCCCAACTGCCTTTTCCCCTCCTATGGGTTTGAGAAATGTGCCATTCAGACCCTTACTTCCTCCTGTGAAATTACAATGCTTTAACACAGGTTTCATTGTTTTCCGATAATATCGATATAATCTAGATTTCAGGTTTCAAAGACAAACTCACACACCCCATAGGGCTTTGTTTGACAAAAAGACTACGAGATGGCAGCTGAGATGCCTATTCTGCCACATGAAAATTACCAAATAATTGCATGGCAGGTGTCACCGTTCTGAAAATCATAAAATGTGTGTAGCTCTCTCTTTTGTTTTCCAGTGTTTTATGGGGGATGCTTTTCTTGGGGACATCACTAGCTGTTTTGAACGTTGGGAAAATGTTTTTCCTCTGCCTTCCTTTTTGCCAAAGAGAGGATAGACAGAAGCCACAATAAAAAACACATGACACTATTATAGTCCATTTCCCACCGGGGAAACTGCATTAGAATGGGCGAAATGCACAGGCACAGACATGCCTCCCCAGCTTAGAAAGTTACTCAGTTGGTAGTTTTGGCAGCAGAAGAACCATAAAAGTGGGGAAAGCGGGGCTTCCTGGAGGCCTGCATGCCCGAGACGCCTTCCCCAGGGTAAATCAGCCCAGAACAAACGCTCATTACGCAGACATCTGTTCCCCACTGGTGACACCGAGGCCAGGTGATATATGAACCCTTCTGAAGACAGGGAAAGATCGAAGGAATCGGAGAGAGGAGCCCACAATGACCTCCCTCAACTACCACAGGGCCTGCATGCTTTACAACTTGGCCCGACCCACCAAGCGTCCATTTTTAAAAAGTCACTTCTGGGAAAAGCGGAGAATTTAAAAAAATTAAGAACTATTTCACATGGAGGCATTTTCTATTTATATCCAGCACAAACCAATATAAAATTGATACCGGTCTTCCATCCACTGTCCAGTGCTTTCACAGAGCAGCCTGCCAGAGGCCATTAGTGCACCGTCCTCACAAATGGAGAAGCGGCAGTGGTCTGATTCCCCCAGAGCCAGACTGGCGTTTGAACTTGCCCGCTTGCACGCTCTCCGAGATCGCCTGATGATTGACAAGTCCGTCTGCAGGGTGAATTGTGGTCACTTCCCCTCAGAATAGGATCCAGCGAACAACCTGAAGGGATCACGATATAAAGAAAGATCATGCTTTGATGTTGGGTGGGATATGCAAATAAGAATGAGAATAGCTGGCTTTAGTGCTGTCAGAGTGCTGTGTTTTATTTGAGAAATGAGACAAAATCTTCCTATGATCAGCCACTCCATGTGACATCCCAACCCACACTCTGCTACTGACATTTTACCTCCCACTGAACAGCCCGGCTGTTGTAACATTTTCAGGATTCTTAATTTATGTCTTGCAGGATCTAAAATCAGATGGCAGGAACTTTAACAAAATAACCAGTGTTGACAGGCACCTTTATACTTCAAGAAGCTGGTACACCTGAGTGCTACTAAGAGTTGGGGAATGTTTTCTACTTATTTCTTGAATGTATGTCCAGAAGACAGTAGAATGGAAACAAAGAGCTGTCCTAAATCATTTAATTTTCTCTTTTCAATCCATACTCTGTGAAACACCTTTCCTTCCACCTGGTATTTTTTAACAAGCTTATGCCCCTTTCTTACTATGAGTCATTCCAGCATTTAAAAAATCAATTGATTAATTACATTAATCAAGAAAAGACTTCTACATATCATCAAGAACTGTGGAAAAATAAAATGAGTGAAAGGTAAGATCAGCAAGTTAACATTTGTGTAAGCTTTGTAACTTACTGACCTGTTGGGGCGCCTGGGTGGCTCAGTCACTTGGGCGTCTGACTTCGGCTCAGGTCATGATCTCACGGTCCGTGAGTTCGAGCCCCGCGTCGGGCTCTGTGCTGCCAGCTCAGAGCCTGGAGCCTGTTTCAGATTCTGTGTCTCCCTCTCTCTGACCCTCCCCCATTCATGCTCTGTCTCTCTCTGTCTCAAAATAAACATTAAAAAAAAAAAATTAAAAAAAAAAAAAACTACCCTCAGGGTGCCTGGGTGGCTCAGTCGGTTGGGCGTCCGACTTCGGCTCAGGTCATGATCTCACGGTCCGTGAGTTTGAGCCCCGCATCGGGCTCTGTGCTGTCAGTTCAGAGCCTGGAGCCTGCTTCGGATTCTGTGTCTCCCTCTCTCTCTGCCCCTCCCCCACTCATGCTCTGTCTCTATCAAAAAAAATGAATAAACATTAAAAAAAATTTATAACTTACTGAACTGCTGATTCTCAGAACACTAGTGAGGGGAAAATATGGTGATGATGATGATGATTCCTACCTTACAGAAGAGGCAAGGGAAGCTCAGAAAATGGAAATAACTAGTTGCAAACCACTCAGCCTTGAAGAAATTGCAACTGCAACTCAAACCCAAGTTGCATGTTCTTTCCATGATACCACACTGTTGCTTTGTAAAAGCAGCAACTTTGGATGAGCTGATCATATGAATGTGCCTGAAACCTTTGCTCTTAAGAGCACTGGCAGTGCTGAACACTTGGGGTTCTCGGGCTTATACCTGGCAAAGTCAGGATGCTGGTGTATACCCTAGATCTGGAGCACTCAGCCTTCATCCTCTTCAGAATGGATTTATGTCTATTCTCTATCACGTAGTGCTTCAGAGTACGGGTTTGGAGCCAGATGACTAGGTCTGCTACTAACTAGTAGCTGACCTGGGCAAGCCACTTAATTTTTCTGGGCCTTTTCCTGTATTGTAAGATGAGGAGGATAATAGCACTTGCCTCATAGGATTGTTGTAAAGATTAAATGAGTTTATTTGTGGAAAATGCTATATAAAGGTTAGTATCATCTATCAGTTTTCTACATGCTTTCATAAATGCATTATAATATGCTTGTGAAAACCTGCAGTTAGACGATAAAGCTAAGAAAAGCCTTGCTCTATCCCTGGAGGTAGGAAACTAGTATACTCCTTTCATACAGTACCTTGCACATAGCAGAGGCTTAAAAGACATATTGAGTATAGTTGACACAATATTACATTAATTTCAGGTGTACAACATAGTGATTGGACAAGTTAATATATTATGCTATGTTTACTGCAGGTGTAGCCACTCTCTGTTCCAAAAGATCACTATTACAATATCATTGCTCTATTCCTTCTGCTATGCCTTTTATTCCTGTGACTTATTCTGTAACTGGAGGCCTATATCTCCCACTCCCCTTCACCCATTTAGCCCAACCTCCCACCCCTCTCCCCTCCGGGTATTTATTTATAGGTCTGATTCTGCTTTTTATTTGCTTATTCGAAATTTTTTACATTCTACTTATGAGTGAAATCATATAGTATTTGTCTTTTCCAGTCTGACTTATTTCACTAAGCATAATACCTTCTAGATCCATCAATGTTGTCACAAATGGCAAGATCTTTCTTTTTTATGGTTGTGTAATATTCCATTATAATCTATCTATCTACACACACACATTCCTTATTAATTTGTCTATTGATGGACACATAGGTTGCTTCCATATTTTGCCTATTGTAAATAATGCTGCAATAAACGGGGCTGCATACATATCTTTTCAAATTAGTGTTTTCATTTTCTTTGGGTAAATACTAGTGGAATTATTCAATCGTATGGTATTTCCATTTTTAATTTAAAAATATCTTATATTGAACTAAAGTGAATACTACTGGAACTTAAAATGGTAGTCCTAGATCTTCCAAGTTCAAGGTCCAAAATTTTTTCTTTTTTAAAATTTATTTATTTTTTTTGAGAGAGAGAGAGAGAGGGAGAGAGAGAAAGAGAGACTGCAAGTGGGGGGGCGGGCAGAGAGATAGAGAGGGAGGGAGAGAGAATCCCAAGCAGCCTCTGTGCTGTCAGCACACAGCTGCATGGGCGGCTCCATCCCGGAACCATGAGATCATGACCTGAGCTGAAATCAAGACTTGGAGGCTTAACTGACTGAGCCACCAGATGCCCCTCAAGGATTTTTCAAGTATTTTCAAGTATTTTTAGTCTACTTTCCCTCTACTCCCCACCTCATTCATCTCAAAGGGCAGAGGCCTGAAAAAGGATGAATAACCAACCAATTCCCATAAAACTCAAGTAAGAGTAAAAACTAGTTCTGAGAAACTTTGCAAAATATACATCCTGGTGCTTGAAGTTTAGGTCACTAGGTATTTCTTCTGCACAAAGCACAAAAGGTTATCTTTATATTATTGGGGCGAAACCCCTAACAGCCAGCCCTCTGTACTAAAAAGCTTTCAGCAAAAGATTCCACATTTTCTTATTTGCTCCCCCACTCCCAGGCTGCCGGAGAAGCCCGGCGGACGGGTTCATACTCCGACTGCGTGAGAGCTGGGCGCTTCACCAGGTGACCAAAGGAAGGAAGGAAAGAAATAAGACTGAGCAAATTAAGTTTGGTAAAGGAAGAGAAGCCTTCAAACCAAGAACAAAGCGGCAGCCCCTCAACACTAGCTCTCCCCGCCCCTCCCGCCCAGGGCCCGCCCCACCCCGCCCAGGGCCCGCCCCACTCAACCCCGCCCAGGGCCTGCCCACTCAACCCGGGCGAGTCCCGTAGCCTCCATCCTGGTTTCGTGGGGCGCTTGCGCATTTTTAAGGCGTCTTGGCACTGCCCGAATCTAAATGTGGGTAAGGGGCAGGGAACTTCGTGGTTTCTACAGATCCCCCTCCGGGGGCTTTCTGCACTCTCCAAGAGCTTGTTTTTTTGTTTTTTTGTTTTTGCCTTTCTTGGTCATGAGACTCCGGCTTCTTCTTCCCTGCTATACTGAAGCGGGCATGTTATAAATTAGGCGATATCCGGGCAGCCCGTCTCCTGGCGCAGGGTCCTTGGGCTGAAGCTTAAGGAGACGGCAGGGAAGGCAGGGTCCTTCTCTGAGGCAGTCGCGCAGGCACCGGCTGCGGGTAGCCGGTCACCGGGCGTCATGTATTACAAGTTTAGTGGCTTCACGCAGAAGTTGACTGGAACATGGGCTTCCGACGCTTACAGCCCTCAGGTACAGGTAGCTCCAGGCCCTCTCTGACAGAAGTGGCTGCCCGAGACTCTGTGCCAGGCAGTCGTGGCGCCGGAACCGGGTGGGGTTTCTGCCTGCGGTTCGGTTTAGCTCGGCACCACCTCTCCCGGCGCCTCTCAACATCTTGCGGCGGCCATAAAGGCTCCTAATTCTGTAGCTGCTTCCCTGTCGGGGCTGGCCCGGGGCGGAAGTTGGGCCTGGCACTCAGCTGGGGTCAAGGTGACCTCCGAGGTCGCTGCTTCTGGGTCTTCGGGGTGGCTTGTGGGGTCGGCGTGGCCCAGAATGCGACCCCGAAGTTCGGCTTTGTCCTTTTTAAGGAGGTCTCGCTTTTGGTCTCCTCGGTGCTCCATTGCTTACCCCGCCCCGTGTAGCCCAAACGCCTCATCAAAGCATGAGATTGGAGAGCTGGGATGACAGCACCGAGGGAAGCCATAGGGGCAGGAGAGGCTGTAGGATCAGAATTAAGAGACCTAATGGGTTCTTTCAAATGTCCAGGTGAGCCTGGGCAGTTACGTGTAACGACCTTAACGTTTCTCAACGGTGAAATGGTTGATGGCCGTTATTTGAGTCTAAAAAGTATTCCAATTTCATTCAGATTTTGCCAGTTGAAGTTTGTCTCAGTGGTAGACTTTTTTTTTTTTTTAAGTTTACTTATTTGAGAGCGCAGGCAGAGAGCCAGAGGGAGAGAGAATCCCAAGTAGGCTCCATACCATCAGCACAGAGCCCAAATGGGGGCTCCAGTTCACAAGTGTGAGATACCACCTGAGCTGAAATCAAGAGCTTAACCGACTGAACCACCCAGGTCCCCCTTCGGTTGTAGACTCTTAATATGAGCTAACATCGTGGCTTTGATGCCTTGATTTTATGGCCTTTCCCAGGGTTACTTTATCGTGAGCTTCATCTAGGGCAGCTTTCCTACAGGTTAAGTGAAATGACTGGCAGTCTTTGGCAGGTGGTTGGTACTTGATAAGTGGTAGCTATTCTCCAGAAGTTGAGTGTTCGATACCATCATATTCCTTATCCTCGTGGAGTAGTGTGGGAACGGTTCGTGAAATACGCAGTTGGAAAACTGGACTGGAATAGTAAGGATCCTAGGTGGGGTGTAAAGAATGCTCTATTATGTTACTTCCTCCTTTTTCTGGGGGACACAGCGGCTTGTCTAAGTGGGGAACGTGTTTAAGAGTAATTTCAGTCTAAGACTGGATGTGCTGTTAATGTTAACTAGGGTAGAGAGGGAAGAAAGGGCAAGTTTTGGGGGGAGTGTGGGGTTCGGGAGGAAGGGTCCAGGTTTATAAATGTTGACCATTTGATGATGTCATGTTTGGTACCAGCTGGATTTATGAATATGAAGTTTAATAGAGCTGGGTGTCTTCAGCCCATAATTGGTAGAATCTGTGGTGGGGAGGGGATCATCCAGGGAGCATATAAGGAAGAAAGGTGGGAAGACGATTAGGCTACAGAAATGCGAAGCGGATGGTAGAGGAGGAAAATTTATCAAAAGAACAAACCAGGTGGGTCGCCTGCGTGGCTCAGTCGGTTGAGTGTCCGACTTCGGCTCAGATCATAGTCTTGAGGTTCAAGAGCTCAAGCCCAGCATTGGGCTCTGTGCTGACAGCTGGGAGCCTGGAGCCTGCTTCAGATTCTGTCTCCCTCTCTCTCTGCCCCTCCCCTGCTCGTGCTCTCTCTCTAAAAAATAAACATTTTGGAAAAAAAACAAACCAAGATTAGAAGGGAAATCATCCTGATGGTGTCACTGACTGCCAAATTGGGTCAAAGAAAGATCAAAGGAGGTCAAAGAAGGAATTGCCCATAGGGATTTATTTATTTTGTAGATTACAGGGGAATAGCCATTTCTATCATATTTGTTTCAAAAGACGTAGTTTTCATGCACTGATCTTAAATGTTACAGTGTAATGAGTTTTTTTTTTTTTTTAATTTTTTTTTTCAACGTTTATTTATTTTTGGGACAGAGAGAGACAGAGCATGAACGGGGGAGGGGCAGAGAAAGAGGAAGACACAGAATCGGAAACAGGCTCCAGGCTCTGAGCCATCAGCCCAGAGCCTGACGCGGGGCTCCAACTCACGGACCGCGAGATCGTGACCTGGCTGAAGTCGGACGCTTAACCGACTGCGCCACCCAGGCGCCCCTACAGTGTAATGAGTTTTGACAAATGCATACACTGTAACCTCCAGCCCTGTTAACATATAGGACATTCCATCACCCCTAGGAAGTTCCCTTCCCTGTTCAGACTTTTATAAATAGTTTTGCATGTTTCTGAATTTCAGGGAAGTGGAACCACATGCTACTCTTTTATAAGGTTTTTTTGTCCTTCCATACTTTTTTTTGGTTTATTTTTGAGAGAGTGATAAAGTACGAGCAGGGGAGGGGCAGAGAGAGGGAGACTGAGAATCCAAGCAGGTTCCAGGCTCTGAGCTGTCAGCACAGAGCCCGATGTAGGGCTTGAACTCATGACGCGAGACCATGACCTGAGCCGAAGTTGAATGCTTAACCAACAGTCACCCAGGTGCCCCAGCATATGTTGAAATTAGCTCTCAGAGATTACCCTGAGATTAGCAGAGATTTTTACCCTGAAATGCATGTGGTACAGATAGGGCCTTCAGATTTTTAGCACCTCTTAAATTGTGTTTCTCTTGAGAATTTAAACTTCTTAGTCACTTAAGGATTTCCTTTTCTCCCCCCTGGATCTGTTTTTATTTATTTATTTTTAGAGTGTGAGCAAGTGGAGGAGAGGGGCAGAAGGAGAGAGTGAGAGAGAATGTCCTAAGCAGGCTTCATGCTTCTTAGTCACTTAAGGATTTCCTTTTTTTTAAAATCAGTTTTTTAAATTTTTTATTTGTTTTTATTAAAAATTTTTTTTTTGATGTTTATTTTCGACAGAGTGCGAACAGGGGAGGGGCGGAGAAAGAGGGAGACAGAATCTGAAGATGAGCTGTCAGCACAGAGCCTGATGCGGGGGCCCGAACTCAAGAATTGTGAGATCATGACCTGAGCCGAAGTTGGACACTCAACTGACTGAGCCACCCAGGCGCCCCCTATTGATTGATTGATTGATTGATTGATTGAAGAGAGCGCGAGCAAGGGCGGGGAGAAGGTGGAGAGAGAGGGAGAGAGAAAATACCCCAAGCAGGCTCCACGCTATTTGCGGAGCCCTTTGCGGGCTTATCCCAGGTTTCTGGGAACATGACCTGAGCCGAAATCAAGAGCTCTTTGACTGAACCACCCATGTGCCCAAGGATTTCTTAAACCATGTTGAAAGAAGTGATACTGTGTAGACTTTATCTGTGGATTTCAGAGTGCTTGTGACAGGCACACACCCCACCCCCAGCCCCAACCAGGTGTTCTGGCTTTGGTAATTAGGAGTACTTTAGTTTTTCCTTTCCTGGAAACGTTAACAATGTAAAATGTATATGTTTGTAACTCTCAATGTTACCTAAAGTGAATAAGCTAACATGCATTGAATAACCTGGTATAGAAAGGCTAGTTTGCTAACAATGGTACAGGTAGATCAGTTTGATAAGTAATTGTATTTTCCAGTGGTTGATAGAAAAGTATTTTCCTTTTTGTGTCCTATGTCAAAATAAATTGAGGCTAATAAACACGGAAAGATGCTCAACATCATTAGTCATTAGGGAAATGCAAATCAAAACTACAGTGAGATACCACTTCACACCTGCTAAAATCAGAAGACAGACAACAGGTGTTAGAATGGCGAAACAGGACCCCTACCGTATTGCTGGTGGGAATGTAAAATGATTCAGCTGTAGCAGGATTCTCCCACAGGGGTGGTGACACCAAGGCTTTTCTTTCCAGGAAGCAACTTTATTCTTGCCGACACTGCTCAGTTGGGTTTGTACACAAAGCGCTGAGCCCTGAATGCCACGTGGCGTAGTTTTTTAAGACGTTTTTTACTTCTTTGTCTCCCCTATATGGTAACACACAAACATGTAGTTTGATTAAGTGGTCTTCTGTTAACAAGGTTGTGAGGGATGTTGTCATTTATGCGTATAGGTCAGGTTGCCTTGAGGTTTTTTTCTTTCCTTAGGGGACCCTACCACACAGCCACTTTGGAAATAGTCCAGTAGTTTCTTAAAAAGTGAACATTTTGGGGTGCCTGGGTGGTTCATTCATTTAAGTGTCTGACTTTGGCTCAGGTCATGATCTTGCAGTCCATGGGTTCGAGCCCCGTGTCGGGCTCTGTGCTGACAACTCAGCCTGGAGCCTGCTTCAGATTCTATGTCTCTCTCTCTTTCTCTCTCTGCCCCTCCTCCGCTTGTGTGCACACTCTCTCTCAAAAATAAATAAACGTTAAAAATTAAAAAAAAGAAACAAGAAACGTGTTTACCTTATGACCCAACAGTTCTTCTAATTAAGAGGGCAGGATGACCTTCTAGGTAAAGGGACTTGTGGGAGTGATGGGGTGGGGGCTGCTGCAGGGGAATCACTGAGTAGTAAGTTTAGTTGTGGTAGGTGGAGATAGGTCATGAAGGGTCTAGGATGGTAGGACTTAATTTTGTGAGAAACAAATAGGAATTTGCAAAGCAACTTGATGCAGAAAGTTGTGGTAGAGTCTTATCCAGAGGTTGGAACAAGGACATACTTCTTACCTTTAGTTGCATGAAGGTTTATGATGGAGGAACAAGTATCATAACCAGAGCTGTGCTTCGAAAAGTTAGTCTACTGGGAGAGACCAGTGCCAGGGATGCCTCTTATACCCATAGAATAGTTCAGGGTCTTCTGAGTGGGGAAAGGAGAAACAGACGTCTGGGACATAAGGACTTAGTGACTGATGAGGGAGATTGTGGAAATGAGAAAGGAGGACTCTGAGATGACAGTAATGAGAGGAGGGTGGTGCTGTCCTTAAACACAGGGGGCTCCTGAATAGATTTGTGAGAAACT